AATTTACAAATTGCTTTTTTTTTTTTATACGTCTACAATTGACACAAATAATCCAAAAATGTTCTATATCTGAGGAATGCATTTTTGAACAATTATGTTACCTAACCAACTATGTAGGAGTGACCTCCACCTCGATTATCAACGTTATATAAAGAAAGGTAATGTTAGCTGGATAACTAACTTAGCCAACTATCTAGCTTAGGTAACTATCTAGCTATAAGATGTCCCTTCCCACATTATCCTGAGCATTACGTATAGGCTGTAGCTGCACTTAGATGGATTTAACACAACAGGTAATGGCTACTGAACATCAACGTGACATCTTAAGTTTAATACCGAGCTGTCATACTATAAAATATCAAAAGTCTAGTCTAGCTAGTCGAGCTCATTCAGCTAGTTAATGGCTTACCTGTACATGTTTGTGCAGGTTGGATGTTGAGCTGTGAAATTCTAATTCCTGATCTCCACAGGGTTTGGCTCACATAATTCGCAGGTCATTATCATGCTGTTTCCTTTGAAGCACTTAAAAGTGGAGATACCTGATAAGTTGGGCCAGGGATGCTCACCTGTCTCCACTGTCTCAGACATTGCTGCTTCTGACTAAACATTTGGCACCTGAAGTGTAGATTTCCAGCAGGAAACTGCTTTATTTTGATCGGGCGTTTCAAAATTCATTTATTTAAAATTTGCATATACTGTTTTGTTTGTTTTTAAATTGGATTTAAATCTTAAAGGGGTTGAATGTAATATATTTTATTGTTTAATAAACTAAAAGTAAAGCCACTACGATTTCATTATACTGAAAAAAAGCTCTGTTAGAGTGAAACAAGTTATTTGTTACTCTGTTACATGTAACAAGTGTACTGTACACATAGTTACTTTCCACCCCTGGACTCCTTTTAAATAACAGTTCATTTAGTCCCTGAAGTGTTATTTCATAAAGTAAATTGGAAATTATATAAGAATAATACTGGTCTAGATGGAAGCATCTGGAAAAGATGCTAAAGTGTATAGTGACTGATTTGCAGTTTTTATATATGGTGAAGTATGACTCTATGTACCCATTATAATCCTGAAGTACTGCTGATCAGGGTGATATACAGTATATTCAATTCAATTCAATTTTATTTGTATAGCGCTTTTAACAATGGACATTGTCACAAAGCAGCTTTACAGAAATAAATGGATTCACAAAAAATATATTGTAAATATTTGAATTTGTCACTGTGAATTTATGCCTAATGAGCAAGTATGCTCATATGAGTATATGGTTTCCTAACCAGCCTGACCTGGTACAGAACACCCAGCTTACGTCTAGACCAAATAATACAGTAAAGGATTAAGCAGTTAGTAAAGTTGGCGCTTAAATCTGAAGGTAGCCAGAAGGTTGCAAGCTCAAATCCCAGGACTGCCAAAGAACCATGATACAGTGCTTTCACAGGGTATCCCACCTGTACATGCACTTCGCTGTGAGAATAGCTTCCCATTCGTTTTTATTCTTATATTCACTATTTTTTATTCCCTTGTTTTTGAACAGCATGTTTCTGTTGGATATTTGAATAATGAATTCGACTTTCCTCCATTTGCACTTGGCATGAATAAATCAAAAAATAGTTCAACAAAATTATTTGCTGTTCTAAATGGCCTTTATTAATGTGCATGCAATTCGAGCGTCAAGCCTGTTTAAAATGCACTGGATATGTCTTTCCTATTATCCCAAGTAATGCATATTGCCACCTTCGGCAGTGGCCATGTGAAGCAGTGCTATGTCAGCAAGTCCTTGCTTTGAGTTTCAGTCCAATTTAATTTGTCTGTTTCTAACAGACTGAAAAGGCCCCAAATCATCACATTTTCCTCTTCCAAACAAATTAGGTGATCTTCTCCAAATTTTATATCCTGCCACAATGTAAGATTCTAAGTTTGCTGAGACACTAAGAATGTGGTCGTAAAAAGGAAAAAAAAAAAAGATTTTAGGATTTGGCTTCAAAACAGTTAGCAACAGTAAAACAGGAATGTAAGAGAAATGGCTCATGCTGCATCGGACCTCTTCCCAGCCTGTAACTTGGTACCATTAAAAGCTTTTCCTAATCGTAACTCAAAGGATAATTGACCTCAAGGGCCCTTAATAAAGATCACACATCACACAAGCTACTGAAATTACAGATTTTTTTTTTTTCATCCATTGAATGGCAAAGCAGAAAGCTGAAGGTCATGTCCTGTGAATCAAGTTCCAGCTTGATAAACTTTCACATTTCAAACAAATTAATTTATTTGACACTGTACAACATGTTGCACAATGATTGATACATTTCCGATCTCGGGGAATCTCGTAAGCTGAAAATACCTTTTAACAACGCCACACTAAAGGTGGTATGCATTAACCTTTTCACAGCATCTTATTCAATATCCAATATCCTCAAGCCAGCCTGGACTGTGATCGTGTATTGACTGTGAACTCTGCATGGCAGACATGGATGCCCTTTGCACTCTAATTAGTAAAGCCTTGAAAAATGAGTGCTGCGATAGAGCAGATTAGTGGGCATATGTCAGAGTCTGACACTTGTACTCATTTAACCAATCAACCACACCATAAGCCACTTTCTGTTGGAGTAAGCTAGGTCTTGAGTGAGAAAGGAGACTTTCAGGCATAGAAATGACCAGATGTGCATTATTGTTATATTATATTATATTATATTATATAATAACCTGATAATATAATCGGATCGGCATCCTGCACAGAACTGGTGCACTATCCCTGTTTAAAGTATAATCAGATGTATTCAAATATTCCACATTTATCATAAATTAGCTGCGAAAACACTATACAACTTGTGAACATAATATTATTGAATTAGTTATATGTTAGTATTCTCCGCATCTGTATCTTGTTGTGTCACCTGTATGTTGTTTGTTGTTAGCTCAGTGTGTATTTACAGTGTACTCCTTTTTATGTAGTGCCTTGTATGTGTCCCCACTATAACAGTTTTCCAGTCTGGTTATTTCGGTTATTTTGTCTTAGTCTGCCTTATTTTGGCATTGGATTAAGCTTCCATTACGGCTTTAATTCTAAATAGTACTTGTTAGTAATCTTTTCCCCATGTTTTATGTCTTATTTGAGTCCCAGTTTTTAGCCATGTATTTTCTGGTATTAGTCTCCTGCCTGCCATGAATTTTGACTGTGATTCATGGAAAAGATGAATAAAAAAGCTATGCTTTTATATCCAGCCATCTCTGACTTCTTTTTGATACACTAGTGCACTGAGTCAATGGCTGAAAATAAGCTCGAATTCATATATGTCTGTTTAAGGTGTGAGTAGGCTTAGGTAAGATGTTTAAATTATACGGTATTCTCCTTTAAAGCCTCACTCTTTACAAATTGCAAAGGCAGCACAGCTCAGCAAATTGTTTAGAAGGCTCTATTGACCCATAATTATTAGTCTTAGAGATGCAACCAATCCCAATTATGGCCTTAATACACTGAATATCTGTCCAATATTAGTCAAGAGATAAAATGGCCCCAACTCATTGCAATCACTAAAAATAAAAAGAGCAATAAAGACTCAGGAATGTGGTCTGAAAAAAGGGCCTGAATGCAGGACACTCAGGATGATTGTGACATTGAGTACAGCATCACAAAATATCCGCACACCATCATAAATCACGGCCCATATCTTAGATAAAATAATCCCACAATGGGCAATGTAGCTAAAGTAATACAAGCCAGAAGAGATGGCTCTAATCTTGTAATTGCAGAAGCTGAAACAGAGCCAAGGCCCATGTAGCATTGTGAAGACGTCATGGTGTCAAGCTCGCAGGGGCTAACCATTTAGCTTCATCTCAATCACTGGGAGGGTGATGACAGACAGAACTGCCAGATAACAGAAAAGCAATCATTTATTTACGTTCACGAGATGGATATGAGAATGCCCTTCTGCATCTTCCCTCTCTTATGGGACAGCTTTCAGCTAATTTGAAAGTGATTCATGGAAAATGAACAGGCCCTTATTTCAATCGGTATCAAAGCTGTACAGCTGTTTACTTGAATACCCTGGTTCTATTTTATCCAAATTCCTTGGTGGAGGGCCAGTACAATCATAAGCATTATGCAATATATAGTAATATATCATTTAAAAAAGTGTTAGTAAGAAACTGATTTGTGAGCAGCAAGAATAATTTAATTCATAGTTTAAGAGGCACGATCAAAAATGTCCTCGGTTAGAAGGTGTTGATTCATTTTCTATAATACAACACACCCAGTGTTCCTGGGATAGGCTCTGGATCCAACGTGACCCTGACCAGGATTACTGACAGTTAGTTAGTGTCAGTGAGCAGCTCTGACACTAGATCCGGATGATCACAGGTTGATATTTATAATGCGTTACTGTACGTTTCTGTAGTAACAGCTAATTCACAGGGACTTGTATGGTGGATGCTCTAATCTAAGGGATTAAACATTTTGCCTATAATTAACAAAGAAAAACATAACTGTTATGGTAAACCTTTCTGTAATGAAACATTATTTAGCATTTATGGAAGGAGTCGCCAGTGTTAGTGCTTTTTAACAGTCAAAGGTAACGTTGTTTTTTTTGTCTTACTAACTCCAAAAGAGAGAAAAAAGGAGAAGCCAGTGAGGGAACAACTGTCTATAGCTGTTACTACGTAAGTAATAACAGGAACTAACTTCTTAGACAGACGTTCTACAGCATCAATGGTATATGTAAAAAACTATAAATGGAGAAGAAGTACAATGTGTCATTCTTTAATTAATAGAAAAATCGCTTGGGCATAAGAGGAATAAAACATCTCAGGACACGCTGTTATAGAAAAATAATCAACTTTGCGATAGTAACACATTACACCACCCCATCACTGATTTTCCTAACAGCATGTCCAGGTGTGTTTTATACTTTGCATTGTTGGATTGTTGCAATTAAGTTTCTTTGTTATAGATAAATGTTTTAAAATGTTTTAAAAATGTTTCCTCTGATGGGGCTCTGGAGCTCTGGAGGACTAGTGGTTAGGCCACAGCACTCTCATTGCTGTGACGCAGGTTCGATTTCCAGCCAGGGAACCAACCCCAGTCCCTGGGGTTGCGTGCAACAGTGTGCTCTCAGTGCCAGTCTCAAGACTGGATAAAATTGGGGAGGGTTGCGTCAGGAAAGCCATCCAGTGTAAAAACCGTGCCGAATCAAATACACTGACCAATGATCCGCTGTGGCAACTCCTAATGGGAGCAGCCAAAAGAGGAACAACAACTTCTGATTCTGTTATATTCTGATTATATTAACAAGTATTTGTTTATATTATTGACTGTTGCTACTTTACATTAAATCTGTTAAATAGGAAAAAAGAGAATATAAACAGAAATGGAGACTCAGAATTGAGCCATACAGTGCATTCAGGAAGTATTCAGACTCCTTATTTTTGTTCACATTTTGTTATGTTGCAGCCTTATGCTAAAAAGCTTTAATTTCTTTTTCCATATCAATCTGCCCTTAATTCATTGGTCACTTGGCTCGAATCACGGTTGACTCATGCAAGGGTTTCCATGGAAATGGAGCAAGATAACCCCTGGGAGGGATTCTCCAGTTTTATTGCTATGTATGTCTTATATGGAGAGCAGGCTCAGCGATAGGTTGGAATTTCAGTATCTAGAGACGTGTGATGTTCTGTAAGGGTCCTTGACTTCAAGAACATTGCAGTAAGCAATGGTAGAATTGCTACTCCTGAACATGATACAGCCAATTAGTATGCTTTCGACCATGCACCTGTAGGAGATGGTGAGAAGCTAGGCAGCTCAATTTCCTTTCCTTGGGAACTGGATTGTTGCTGAGCTTTTTTTTGACAAGGAGAATGGTGTTAATGATTCCATGCCAGAGCGAAATGCAATCACACTGGAGGAAAAAAAACCCTGAAACCCAATACACAAATTGTATTGCTTTTCATTAGCGAAATGAAGAAAGTGTACAACACTGAAAAGCAAAACCATCATTGCATTGCGCTTATGTCGCTTGATCTCTTTAATGAAGAACAGTCAGCAGGGGATTGCTTTTTAAAAATCAAGTGCTGATCTTAATGCTGAATGTAATCCACCTTTAAAAGCAATCCAAGCCACCCCATTGCATTTCACTGTACAATTCTGTTTAGATGGAAAAACATTCTCACAGATGGGGAAAAAAAAGTCAAATACAACACACAATCTGTATTGCCGTTCATTAGTGACACGCACAAAACGTTGCACAATGAAAAGCAAAACCTTTACTGCACTGCTGTTAAATTGCTTGATAATTTTTCTTTAATGAAAAACATTCAGCAAGGTACAGTAACTGATAACACTTTGGTCCTAAGAGTTTATTTATTCATATTAACACTTTTATGATGTTTTAATAAAAATTCTGTGGCAAAAGCAGGGTTTTTTATTAAATATAAATAGAATGCAAAAAAAAAAAAATAAAAAATGAAGTCGGGGCAAGATTCATAAACTGAGCAAAATCAAGAAAGATCAAGAAAAATCAAGAACACCTCACGAAGCATGCAATGAGTAACAGCAACAGAACAGATGCTACACAACTAAGGGAACAAAACACAGAACCTACATAGGAAGACTAATCAGGGGGAACACAGAACAGGTGTGCACAAACACAGCAAATGAGTTGAAGCACAGAAGAAGAATTTCAAAAATACATGAGAAGGTAACATCTGTTGGCTTGGCAGTGAACTGTCGCTGGTGGACATGACGGGAACAATGAGCCAATAAGAAACTATAAAGGGCACTCCTTTATAAATAATGCTGGGAAATGATGCTTTCAGGCTATTATCATCTTCTACGATTAAAACCGTGGTCCATTGCGTTTCAGTGCCACGCAGTGGCAACGTGCTGATGAAACTGAAATGCAATACAACAGAGAATTACATTTATTTATGATACTAAGTTGACATAAAGACATACAGTACATCATACATTTCTGCTTATAACAAGTAATGTAAATGCATATATACACGCATCAAAAATAATTTGATTGAGCCTAATTGCTGGAAACTTGGGAAAAGCAGTGGGAAGAAGGCTAAAGTAAAAGTACAGTGGGGTGATCATAATAATAGTCAAAGCAATAAATCAAAATATGAAAATAATAATAAGTATAATGAATGAGACTAGAAATTTCAAGGGTTCATTAAAAAAACTTACAAAGTCCCAGCGTATAAGCTTAATGTAAAAATACCTCTACAACAACAAATTCATTATAACCTGGTCGATTACCTAAACTAACATGACAGATGCCTGAAGCTAGCTTAGTTACATCATGATAAACATAGCCTACCTGAGGAGCCAAGTCAACTACATATCTTTAATCGCAAATCCAACTACAAATCCAATTTTAAAATATCTACAATATAATATATGCATTATGAACTGTTCAGTACCAGCATTTTCTTAATGGTGTAGTCTATGAACCTATGCCATACACTAGTTGATGCTTCCATTGTTCCTTACTACAGTAGTAGTTGCATCAGAACTCAAGGGTCCATGATTTTCACTTCCTCCCCTGAGTTTCAAATCATCCCCTTAGTTTTGTTGACGCAGATTGAGCGATTGTCTGCGTACCCTGCTGTGAGGAGTTTATCCTCCTCCATACTGGTTTCATAATTTATTGTTGCTAATGAGGTCCACATTTGGCATGTCATCAGCAGATGTTATGATTGAGTCATGCTTTGAAACACAGTCATGGGAGAGAGCAGCGATGAGAACAGTATTAATTATAGTGTCAGATATTGGTGTGTCAGATTTCGTAATGATTGGAAGTGGCAGATACCAGGCAATATATAAAAAAAAAAAAATCTGAGGATTCTTTAAAGAGGAAAGAGAAAGCAGAATGTTTCCATTCTGTTTCATTCAGTTGCCTATGTTTTTACACAGGTTATGAGTCAAAAACACATCACAAAAGTGATTTTTTTTAACATATTTCTAGAGGCAAGCTGTTCACAGAAAGCCGAAAAGTAAGATTGTGGTTTGTAAGTGCTTTACTGCTGCTTTGCTGATTCCAGCCGGTCTAAACCACTGCTACACACTAAAAGCTGCTTCTGCTAGAAAAATGAGCTGTACAATCCTCATAATTAAGTGCTGACTATCACACTAATGACAGAGTGGCTGCTATGAGCTAGTTTTCAATTATCATACTATTTACACTAAACATAGACGTCTACAATGACTGCAGTGTGCCTCATAGTAGTCGAGTCATTGTGCTAATTCACAGTTTAAAAAAAAAAAAAGATATAGAACTGATCTTGCGTAAGCTACTTCACTAATATAGTGCATACATAATGCTAAATATGCTAGCTCGATGTACTGTAAAGAGGCAGAGTAAGCAGGAAACTTGCCACTTTTAGTAAAATGTATGAAGTACAAAGTTGGCTACACTTATTAGCATCACATCATATTACAAGCAATCACATTATTGTGAGGTGAAATGGCTAGCTGCCTTAAGCATACTGCTAATCCTGATTTGTACTTGAGGTTACCTGGTGTCACCTACTCCTAATGTAGTTCTGTAAATATAATGACAAGAAAGAAATTCAGAAATCTTTCAATTGCGTGGCGCTGCTGAGGTGACATGGTGGTTATTTTTTAAGGCATGGCCATGAATTAACATATTAAGGCTATGAGATAATATATTGAGACTGCAAGTTAATAATAATAATAATTTTGAGGCCATGAACAAGAGAGAGACATATTCTCACATACTGACACATATTGTTGTGGGCAAATCAACAAGTCAAATCAAGTCATAATCCTTTAATGATTATGTTGGAGCCATGAGATACTGATGTCGAGGCCATGAACTGTGTAACTTGAGGCCAAAACTTGTTGATTTGCCCATCACAATGTGTATATTGGTATGGCATACGAGGGGGAACCCAAAAACTCCAGGATTTCGAATGCGGCGTGCACTCAGCGTGCATACCTAAATGATTTTCCATAGAAGTGCTTAGGTGTCTGTGGGAAAGCATCAGGAAAAACCTTCTGGAGGAGTGTTGCACCCAGAACTGGATCTTGCTCCACGACAATGCAACTGCACACACTGCATTGTCACCCAAAGAGTTTTTAACCAGAAACAATGTAGTTATTCCTTCACATCCACTGTATTCGCCAGATCCCGCTTCTTCTTTTTGTTCCCAAAATTAAAAATGAGACTGAAGAGGAAAAGATTTGCCACCATGGAAGAAATCCAGAAGAAAAAAAAACACAGGAGGCTCTAGACATGATGACAAATGATGACTACAGGAAATGTTTACAGGAATGAGAGAAACGCTGGAACATGTGTATTGCATCACAAGGAGAATACTTTGAAGGGGATTAAAGGAGAAGTGCTGTAAGTTTTCCGGGAATTTTTGGGTCCCCCCTCGTATCTAATGGTACATCCGTGTTTTAATGCCAATATACACACTATCAAGCTTGAGTACTGTGTAATGTTATCATGCTTAGGATCCTGTGGCCATAATGTTCTAAGTCAATTGTTCTCTATGTCTCACTCATTTTGCATAATTACTACAAGTTAAGTACTTTGTGGTCACAAATAGAGCTCGAGACCATAACAAGCTTCGTGGCCATGAGACGCCTAACTTGTACTTTCACTATATTATTTCATGACCGTATGTAAGGAATAAAACATGACAGGTTTTGCGGTTATAGGTAAATAATCCGTGACAACAATAGTCATTTTCCAATAACAGCACATCCTGAAGTGTTTTATTCTGCTTAAACCACAGCAATTTGTCAACAGTTGCAATTTTTAATTTATTATTGAATGGCACAGAATACTTTTTAACCAAGCATGAGCCAAGTTACTTGTTATTATCACTTACATATAGCAGCTATATTCAGTTGTTCCCTCACCAGCCTCTCTTTTATTCTCTTTCTTGAGTTTAATAAGAACGCCTCACCTCAGCAGCTTCATACAATAAAAAAAAAAAATTGTTCTTTCTTTATTCAGTTAATAGCAAGTTCGCTATAGAAGCAACAGTGACTAGTAAGAAGCTGTAGATGAAAATGAGTTCCCAGGGGATTTAATACT